CCTCGTTCAGCGCAACACGATGTGCTTCTCTCTTTTGCTCTTTGCACATAGGTTAAAATCCCGCAATAGGTCACGGCAACTTTGTGAACCCCTCATCCAGCATTATTCGCTTCTCTGTGAATTTTCCCGGCGCCTCTCCTCCTGGTTACTACATGTTATTGACCCATCTCATCTCGTCTGATCTGATAGTGGGGAAAAAGAAAAGTTTATCCCCAAGTTTTATACATGCCTTGAAGAGGCAAAATGGTACCTTTGACCGCATCTCGCTACCCCTATAAGCATTGAAAATAGTCCACCTTTGCTTGTATCTCGCGTGAAGTATGTGGGGGATATACTAAAGAGTCGGCAAAAGACCAACCCCCCCCCCCCAAAAAAAAAGGTGTTGCTGAAGTAGTGAGAACCGAGCAGAGTGTTTTTGTATCATGCCAATGATTATCAGACTCAAGATCAATTTTGAGTCCAGTTGATAACAAGCTCGTAGCAGAGTCCAGCATTCTATTGCAACGCTTTGGGGAACTGCCATGCCTGAGATGCTGATGGTTCTGTGCAAGAGGCGCGCGTGTTCTTTTGAACGCCGGATCATGACAACCTTGTCGTCAAAGCTTTCATGTACTTTTTTTTTTTTTTTTTTTTTGGCATATGAATTTTCTCGATTTTGAGACCTTGTGGTCCAAAACTCTTTGCTATGAGACTCTAGGACCACAGGGGTAGGTCTTCACATGGTGATAAAGAGTGACATTTTTGGGGTTGAGAAAAAGACGAGAAGAAGAAAAAGATAATTCTAGCAAAAGAATAACATTTTGGTTTCAATGAGCAAAAGAATGATCCGAGGCGGGCTCGATCCGCCGACCTTCAGTGTGTTAGACTGACGTGATAACCAACTACACCATCGGACCCCATATGTTTGGATGATCGTCACCAACCAAGAAACCATTATATCATACAGTTTCCACACGAAACGTACCCTCGTGCATCTCTTTCAATCTTTGTATGGAAAATTGAGTTTAAAAGATGTGAGAAGAAGAAGATAAAATTCACGCAGGAAAAAAAAAGTGTAGGTGTGTGAAAGGGACATGAGATCAACCAAGTGCAATTCTGATGGATTCCTTTTGGAGATTGACCAAAAAGTCCTTTTTCAAGACCTCAATCCACACCTTTTTCTTGCAACTATTCGTCTCACATGCGACAATTCATGCAAGATTGTATCATGGAATCATTTTGGGAAACCTTGGGGAGCCAGGCTACCTTGGAGGACCGGCACGCGTTCCCGTCAACGACATCTTGACATTGGACAGAATTGACCTGTTGGGTGCAAACTAATCGCCAACCTCAAGAATGGGGAGAGAGAAAAAAACGAATCCTAAAGTGTCAGCTACCCTTGGCTACGGTACCCGAAAGCAACTATCTTGGTCGGTGAGTGAAGCATAAGCAGCTTGGCATAACTATAAAATGACAGGATTTGGTTTGACGGTGCGGCTGAATTTGGTCATCTTGTCAGAAAAACAAGTGGCAAAAAAAGGGAGAGACATGCTGTGCCGTGCCGTTCAGGGAGAGGAATGCGGGGAAAAGAGTATAGATTCTTTTCTTGGATTCATGTTTTGCTTTGCCGCCATGTCTGACATTGTAGGACTTTGAATGGGCCAGCTGAGCCGCGAGGCGTTGATAGCTGAACATGTAAAAGAAGAACTAGTCGTTTGAGAGGGGCATATCTTGGATATTCTACAGCCAGAATCTTCCCTCGGTGGGCTTTTCTTGGCGAACTTGAGTGTGGCACATGCATTACCTAAGAGTAGACAATCATTCCAAGGGTTCTCTACCATTATTCGTCTGCCATCAACCCATCATGTCGAGATTGTCCTCGAAAGCAGCTTCTTCAAGTCAGCACGAGGTTTGTCCGGCATGCAAGTATATCAGAGAGGGCTCTTGGCGAAACAATGTCGGTCTATAAATATCAGCCATATCACTCCCATAACCCACATATCCTCGAGAGACTGCCGCACAGTAAACAACCATTCAAGGAAGAATCAAATAAGTAAATAACCATAACATATCACAATGGCCCTGAAGCACTTTATCCTCGTAGCCCTCGCGGCTACCGCCACCCACGCCGTGCCCAACGCGGAACTAGGAGAGACCGACAACAAGGTACTGGTCGCCCGGACCTGCGACTACGACGTCGACTGCAAAAGCGCCACGGGCTCGGGCATCGAGGCCGGCAAGTATTGCGGTTTCTGTAAGCAGGTGCGACCTAATTATGTTGCCGACCACATTTACCAGTAAGAAATGGCCACCCTTCTTCTTGTCGCTTTTGTTCCTACTCTTCTTTTGTCTGGGACAAGTTGATCCTTGCCAGAAAAGATTCACAAAACTAATGTTAAACTTGAAAATAGGATTAATGGAAAGAGCGGAGCCAAGAGCGTAAGTATTATTAAACATATACAAGCTCATCCCAGAACTTGCAAGCGAGATATGCACACGACTTACTTGAATAATAGTGCTGTGACTATGGCTACTCCACGGCATGCGCTGATCGTTGGAAAGTCGTGAAACCGTAAGTCCAAACCAAATCGAATGCATTAATCATTAATAATTTAATGAACCTTTTCTCCAAGATACTAACATGTCCAAACCAATGCCAGTAACGTCGAAGTCAATTGCAAGAACAGTGGAAAAGGTTACTAGGAGAGTCTCAAGAACGGATCAGTTCTCTAGCGCTCTTTGAGGAGAAAGTATGAGTGCTTGTCGGATGCAATTACCACATTCTTTTTTGGAATTTTTATTACCTAGTGTAGTCAATGAACCAACTGATCGATATGGATGATAGCGAATGATGGCCTTGTCATTTCTCGCCTATACTAAAATCGCTATCTTGAGGCTATTTTTAATAAATTGTTACTTATGGAATTGAACTGAAAGCCCAGACACTTGACTGGGGAAAAAAAACAAGAAAGAATCATCAACCACGAAGAAGGTGTTACTACTGCTTGTGTGCTTGCCGATTCACACCCACGTAATTTGCTTCAATTTGGCCTTGATGCCAAGCCAGCATACCTTGATCGTTTTTCCAACGTGGATGGATCCATAACTCCTGCAAGACAGTAGCGTGTATAGAGAAAGGGGAGGGGGGGGGGAAGAAATAGGAAAACGTTTTTGTTTGATGTCATGATTGTGCAAGCCTGGGCCTTGAAAAGCCACAGAAAAAAAGCCAATGAACGAGAGAGCGGCAAATATCAACTGCAAACAAAAACACAACAAACGAATGTCCTTTCAAGAATGAGAAAAAGAAAAAAGTCAGTAGCCAAGAACAAGAGACTCACTCAACGGGCCAAGAATCATGGAGTCATGTGCAATTTTCATGCATCAGCTCCAATATCATCCTGCTCCCAGCCCTCCCAGGTAGGAGCATCATGGCCATTGGGTCGTGCAACTCTTGCATGTCCAATCTCGAGGCCACTCACACTCAGTGCCTCTTTCGGCCAGCGGATGCGCCCGGCAAACCCGAGGCTCATTGCACTCTGCATCATCTCATCAGAGAAGAGAGCCGGGTAAAGTCTCTTCATGCTCTTGAGAGCTCGTCCGCTGACCTCATCGACGCTGTCGCTGTGTCTCAAGTCAAAAAAGGCGCGGTCGTGGCTTTGCCATAGCTGCTGCTGCGTCTCGAGAGAATGAGTGCCCAAAGACAGCAAGAAGAGGTCATACTGCGATATGCTGGTGCGGCAGATCCACGAACCACCTTGAGTGGCTCGACGATAGAGACCAGACAATGCTGCGACAGTCCCCAAGATCCCAGTACCGTAGTCGGAGATTGGAAAGGGCGGAACCACGGGCTCATCAAGTCCCATGAACCATCCCTGCTCCCAGGCTACTCCAGTGACACAGTCAGCAATTTGCTGCCAGCCAGCTCGAGAGGCCCATTCCGCGCCGTCGATGCCGGTGCCACCAAAGCAGTCCTCCGCGACGTAGACGATTCCGCGTCCACGAGCGGCTGCTTTGGCAGCAAGAGTTTCCGGGCTATACCCCAAAGAAGCCAGTACTCCGGGACGGTATCCGTCAATGATGACGTCTGCTGAAGCCAAAAGATCCTCAAACTTGGTACGGTCGCTCTCAGTCTTGAGGTGAAGAGAGGTAGTGTGCTTGCCAGTATTCACGTCCAATTGAAAGAAAGGCACATCGGGGAGCTGAGGCGACGTGACTTTCAGGACTGAAGCGCCATGAGCCGCTAGGGAGCGGCCAATGGCCGGTCCTGCAATGATGCGACAAAGCTCGAGGACTCGCACTCCCTTCAGGCATTGCTTCGAGTCAGTCTCAGCGTCTGGCTGCATGAAGGCTTGAGGTGGAGTGACTTCTCCCAGTGGCCTGACTGTAAACGGAGGAATGCTTGCAAGAGCTTGTCCATGAGACGTTGCTAGGAACTGGTCCTTGGTTAATACAGGCACGCCTGCCTGTCTATAGAATTGGTTGAGTTCCTCCAGCTCAGAAACTGTCAATCTCTTGACGGCTGTCTCAATCGTGCGGACACATTCATGGTAGTCTGTCATATCAGGCATGAAGGGAGGCAAACCCAGCATGGCAAGGGTGGTGCTCGCCTCAAGCGATCCGTGGATGTGGTAATACTCTCCCGGAATGCAAGTCTCGTAGAGATTGGCAGACAAACGTCTGTAAATAATTGACTGGGCTTGGTTCAGGTCGGTATCTTTGAGACATGGTCAATTTCTGCCTTCAAACGCGCTGGGAAAAAGATGACCAACCAGGAAGTCGGTACTTCATCTTGGAATGGCTCTTTCCCATGCCATCCAAGGTTGTCAAGTATGCAGACATCAAAAGTCCAGTGACCTTGCCAACGTCAACATTGATGGCTCTATCCTGATGCCCGTTTTGCAAATCAGAAATCATGGCCACGACGCAGCCTTCGAGAGCTTTAAGAGCAGCGCCTAGGTCTTGCTCCTTTAATGGGCAAGGAAAGCAGACATTGTCCGTACCTGCAACGAGCGCAGTGAAGTTGACATGATCAAGATGAAGCTTGAAAGCAGCTGGTAGCTCTGAGTGGCAGGCTGCGCCCAGAGCCTCAAGTGCTATGTGAGCCCCTGCACGGACAGAATAGTCCTTGCTGGTTGCAGGTTGGAAATTTCTTGTTTCTGGTTCGATGGCCATGGTGATGGCCAATGGTAGCGAGCCGCTGCTCGCCAAAGCGGTAATGTACGATTGGAAATTGGATTAACTCCAGCTTGAAAGCTAGAAGATTGCTATAGTATATATATAATATGAGAAACCACAATTTAGATCATGTCGCTTAGATAAATGAAGTTTCGAGAGATTCACCAGGAGCCGATACAACGCTTTTATAAGAAGACGACCGGGCACGAGTGATTGAGAGAGCTTTCACGAGTTTCCGACAAAGACTATTTGCCGCCCGTCGAACGGCTCGACGGCCGGAGGATTACCGTGTATCACAGCCGACGTACGTCTGGACTCCGAATATGGTATGCTGATCCATTGCGTGGTCGACGGACAACCACTGCTGCGGCAGGCAAGGGGACTAGGCTCGATCATGGCCGGGGGTCAGAAGGTTGGAGGTTCATCACAGCACGTATGGTCTCGGGGTCGTCCATCCGATGTGGTTTGTGCTTCTGTTGCGATATTGAGTGAATTCTGCACCTCATGTGATGGGCTGAGGAGGACCCGTTTCAGTCAAACCCATGTGCCGATGAAGTTCAACCGTACACGATGTGATTCTGGTCTTGGCAGCTAGAAGCGAATGAGACCTCTGGCTGAATCTGATGCAAGAACAAACTCTGACCCGCAGGCTTGGAGGTGACATTTCTGTAGGAAGCCGTCATTATGTCATTTTTTCTCTCTCAAGGTTCCATGCCGCGAAGTTTTGGGTCGTTGACTCTTTTGAGGGTGAAATAAAACTCATCTTGTACGTTTCTTTTTCTTCAGAGCTGAGATCCAGATAGACAGGACCTAGACAAATATTAGATACAACAGGGGGCAACAGCGCCAAAACAGACGGTGTCGACTTACACAAATGGCGATGCTATACCCAAGGATGTAGTGCTCGGCGGGCGCTCTAGATGCTGCATGCGTCTAGCAAAATGACATGAATGTGACAGTTGCACGTCGAGTCAAAAGACACGACGTGGATGACGCATGCAGTACCACGGTCGTAAAGATCAGCCATCAGCAGTGACCTGGTACAAGGAGGGTCGGATCATGGACATGGCTTGCGCTGTCGGACGGTGCGCTATCCGATGGGAAGTGATGTGCAGTAGGAATGCAAGCAAAGTCGGTGGTTGTAGAATGTAATTGTAGAAAGATGAATGAATATTGACAGGTCAGAGACTCGGAGGTGCTCATCATCTTCAAGACCGACACGAGAACCCACCAAGAAAGCTCGGGCGAATAGGAGAATTGGTAATATGCACAGCAAGAACACTTCTGCGGTTGTGGATGCAGACAACTCTCGAGAAGTCATAGAGGACAGATGCACCCCTAAAGTTTGTGATCTTAGATCTCGGGATTGCCAAAGTCAGGGTCCTTAAGATTGAGTTGCGTCGGTGCTGCGAAGGCTATGATAGGTGCACTATCCGAACCTTTCTAGGCGAGCTCCCCCGCGTTTTTGGAGGGGGAAGTTATACCTAGGCAGCCAGAATAGGGAATGTGGAGGGGCACCCGAGGACCAGTCTTTAACATACGTACGTCCATTTGATTCTCTCCCCCCTCACCTCCACCCGTGGACCTTCTGGTCCCCTCCACACTGACGAGTTGAAATCAGCAATAGAAGAGAGCCAGCCACTTGGCCAGACTCCCGGATTCCCCTTCCCCTGCCAAACATATCCCGCCCCTCCCCATACCACCCCATACAATACACTCGGCCGACCCATGTTACCGTACATTTTATGGTCTGGAGGAGAGAGACAGTGAGGTAAGGTATAGCATTAGCATACCCTACTAATGTACATAGCTGCACGGATCCCTGATTCAACCAATCCCTGGACCTAACGAGGCTGCCAGAATCTTTTTTTCTTCCAAGAAGGCGAATTGTTGTCGATGCGCCTCCATCACCGGTGAATCCAGGCTTCCCCCAATGAAGAGCGACCTTGATGCGACCGAGTTCTTGGGCAGGCCCGATACTTACCTAGGTATGTACTCTATCTGCATGGAGCTGCATTGTGCGGTACATTGCCGAGAGTCAATGGGACCTACCAACATATGTACGCTTCATACATTGTTCAATGATCTTTGCTGAAGGTAGAAGAAAATGTCAAGGTAGGCTCGACTTGGTCCCGCTGGTGGTGACGTTCTTTCCTTCTTTCAAAGTTCCTTTGGTACTACATGTGTCAAGTATGCACCTAGGAAGTACCTCAACATCTTGTACCCCATTTGCCCTTGTTTGCGAGGCTTTCACCACACAAGACTAACACGATGCACACATTTATGACTATTAATCAACCTCCATGTATGCACATCTTTACCTACATGCATAATTGATCGTTCAATGCTGGTAATGTATGTTTCCCTATGTACCATACTTACCTACCACAACATTGCAACTCAGCGCCCAACATGGATACCTCCCACATTGATCTGCAGGCTGCCAAAAATACGCGAAATAAGCCACATGCGGTCAGTCCCAGCGAGTGTTGAGTCCGTTGGACCAATACCAACCGCAGGAGCCTCTTTGATTGCTTCGACGCCCAACTGACCAATCGCCTTGGGAACATGTTTGTACTTCTTGAGTCCAGACTGGTAATTTTTCCAATAACAACCAGACTCAAACTGAGTACCCACCCCCAAGGGGAAAAATAAAATAAAACGAGTGCACCTTTTTTACGGTTTCGAAAAGAGGCGGGATCTGATGATACCGAACATACGCCCTTGCATTCAAGACCTTGCTTACATTACATTTATTATTACTTTACACCTCAACCGAGAGACGGCACAAGATAGTTGTAATGAATCAAAAGTAGGCGCTTGAGCAAGGTAGAGTCTGTTTGAATCGAGTTGCCTCGCCTCGCCTCGCCTCGCCTCAAGCCTCCAGACTGGATGGGCGTGCTTGCCAGTTTTTGTCTCTCTACTCTACCTGCTTCCCACCCTCCTTGCCCACCAAGTTCCTTCCTACTTCCCTAACTAGTACCTGCTCTACCAACCAACCGACCGACTGACCGACCATCTTGCTCAACCCTGCCTTTACCTCAAGCAGCTCTGATATGCTCGAGTCACCCTGTTTACATATTTTTCTCAACGTTTCAAGCCTGCCCAGTCTTCTTGTACATATCTCTAAAGCTTGCCGCATCCTGTCCAATGTGGTCAGTGTCTAAATCTCTCTTCTTTCCTCCTTTCAAACATTTATGCTAGTCTGCGGGCGAGCACTGGGCCCCATCATCGTCTAGCTCCATTGCTGCTCCGCTGTAGCCTCATTCAAAGTTCACATAGGCAAAGTCTGTCTATCTGTCAAGTGTCAAACCTCGGTCTCGACTGGGAGAAACTCGCCAACCTAGCAAACAGCTCTTCGAGGTCTTGTTACGTCCTGGCTCGATTACCAGAAACTCTCACCTGCAACCTTCAGCTTCTGTCCCCACTACCATCTGCAAGACGATATTCATCTACCATCAGGGTAACTGGACTTCGGATGATCATTTCAGTCAACCGGACGGGTCGACAAAGCTTATCCACACTTGCCTTCTTCCCAAAGCGGTTTAATATGCTCATCTCGTTTGCACCCAAGGCCGAACTGTGAGCATCATCCCCAGTTAGTCAGTCCTCGTCCCACTTTGCATAACCAAAACGGATTCTTTGTCCACCCGTGGCTCGGATTTGAATGGCGGATGTTACCTGAGCCTCAGCCGGCGTAGAGCATCATGACCCGACCAAGAGTGGATCCTGACAAGAGACAACGGACGGCCTGTGCCTGCGATAGTTGCAAGCGGAGAAAGCAAAAGGTGATTCAACCCATCTTTCCTTCACTTCCAGGATCCATATTTTCCTACAAGGCCACCATGTACGGCCTTGCCCCATGCACCTGATTTACTGGAATGTCAATTTCTCCAAGCCTGGAGCCCAGAACGTACCGTAACTCTGCTCTCACAATACAGAGTATGGGCATGGTCTCTCTCGGACCTTGCAGTGGGCCGCCGAGAAGACGGGAGGATATAAAAAGTATTCCTTGACCCAGGTTGTGGTCGGATAAAGATATTGACAATGGGTCGTTCCGCTTCGGAAGGCTCACGCTGTCTTACACCAGAAGAACTGTGTAGCCATACCCTCTAGGATGTCTTCATGCGTCCAGTGATGCGCGTTTTGCTCAGATATCATACCTCTCCCGACGCGAAATCGCATCGTCATTGAATTCGGCTACATCTTCCATCTGATGCTGACAAAATGTGTTCAGTGTAACGGTCAACACCCATGCCAAACTTGCCTAAAACGGCGCCTTCAGTGCATATACACACCACCTATCAATCCCGAGGCAAGTCAGAATCTAGTCACGTCGCCAGTCAAGAAACATCCTATGGATACATCGTCCGAGATTGTCAAGTCAGTCGGCTCTAAAAAAGCCCGCCCTCGAAAATCATCAATGCAGCTTCCAGCATCGACTGCATGGGACCCATCAGAGCTTCCTGCAGTGAGCCTTGGTGACTCAGGCCATGCTCATCCTCACGAAGTTAGAATGCATTCAGCCCCAACACAAATTACGAGCCATGGCGACCTGGAACCAAATTCTCGCTCGAGGGCAAGCTCGGCCTATGGACTCTACGAAGAGGTAGAGGCTTGGTCCCTCCCAAGGATGCTCCAAGACTCTAATAATCCCCGCAGGCTACGTGAGTATAAGATTTTCATTCTGGAGCTCAAGGAAAGTACATGATACCCCGTGGCACCGCTTGGCGCGTCTGTCTCTCCCTTCCAGCAAAAAACCTTTTACGGCAAAAGACAGAGACGGCTAATCGTTTTGGGGGGAATTTAGTCTATGTTGGCGAGTCGGCCACATTATCATGTCTACAGCTGATCCGTATGCTCGTCGAGTATAAGGCGGCTCCTTCGGAATTCACACAGGACCCACAGCGGCACATGATTGTAGAGGCCCCCAGCAATCCATTACCAAGTAACACGCCAATGTGTTTACTGCCAGATATAAAGACAGCTAGTATCCTCGTGAATTCATATTTCATCAATGTAAGACTGTCTCTTTGCCATTCACACTGATGAATAAACTGACCAAGCAAGACCATTGGCTTCGTCGAGGTCTTTGATCGGCGGATATTTCGTGATCAATTCGACCAATGTTTCCAAGATCCGCTCACCATCGACCCATCTGTGCGATGCTTGCTCAACCTAGTCTTTGCGATTGGTCTTGTACTGGCAAAACCCGAACCAGAAAGCGAGGAAGAAGAGGTTATCAAGAAACTTCGTGAGCATAAAGGCATCAACCATGCCGAGGTGTTTTTCAGAAACGCCAAGGCCCTTGCCGATCCGGAATCAGGCTTTGAGAACGCGAACATTTGGTCGGTCCAGGCGCTTTGCCTCATGGCTATTTACATGCTGTCAGTTTCTAAGAGAAATGCTGCATATGCCTATTATGGTGCGCAATTCCTCCACTGTGACTAATTTAGACTGACTGTAATCGTTGCAGGTATGGCGGTGCGGTCGGCTTTCGCCCTCGGGCTACATCGTGAAGAAAATGATTGCAGCTTTGATCGGATCTTTGACCAGACTCTAGGAAAAGTGAGGAGGAACCTGTGGCGCACACTTTACGTTCTAGATCGATTCTTGTCGGCTTCGTTGGGCAGACCAATGGCAATTTCTGACGAAGACTGTTCCGAGGATCCCCTCGAGGCCGGCGAAAAACCCCTTGAGAGTGAAGATGAAAAGGTCAATTCAGCAGCCCTGTATGCCGCTGTGAGAACTAGCCGCGTCATCGGGAAAACACTCAAAGAGGTATACTCGAAGCGAAAGATATCATGCGCCATCACCCAGGAAATTGCAAAGAAGCTAGTAGATTGGAACGGAGCACTGCATACTGAACTTCACTGGCAACAGGCGAAAAACAACAACGTACCACGAAGCAGAAGGATCACTATTTTGCATGTGAACCTTTTGCAATGCCATTCAATCATTCTCTTGGCTCGGCCGTTTTTCTTGTATATTCTCAAGGTTGGGATGATGCAGGGGAGCCAAGCACGATTAAGCCAGAGGATGGATGGGTATGCCCAGACATGCGTCGAAGCCGCGCAACACAGCCTAGCTATTGCACAGGCTGCAATGGACGGAGACTACCTCCCACATTGCAACCCATTCGTCATGTATGTCAATTTACGACTTCATATTTGTTGAGTAGACGAATATCTCAAAGACAAGCTAACACATTTGCCATAGTTACTTTGTCTTTGCGGCAGGTCTGATAATCCTGAGCAACGAGTTTGCATCGTTGTATATCAACCCAGACGCCGACATGGCTGTTGCCAGCTGTCTCTCGATCCTTGGATACTGCGCAGAACATGACCCTCAGGCCAAGCGGGTCCACCACATCATCAAGACTTTCCAGGAGGTCATCGTGAACCGGGCCTCGGCAGAACCTGTGCTTTCATTTCCAGGTCGGATAATACCAACCATTACGCCTGCTTCAAGTAACCCGCATCATGATCCCATGGCCCATTTCTTCAAAAACTCAAAATGCGGCTCAAAAGCACAGCAGTTACCAATCATGCCGCCAACCCTGAGGCCCGAGCACTCAAGCATGTCAGCTAGCTATCAGAGACGGCCTTCATCATCGATCATCTCTGTCCACCAACAGCCGAGCCCAGATGGCACTGATGGCTCCCCAGCAGCAGTCGTCTCAGCGTCGGGTAGCGATGGTAACACAAATCCGGATGTCAGCTTCTTCCTTGATGACTTGTTCACGTCACCCTACATGAACTCGAATGCAAGAATGCAAATGGATCATCAGCAGCATATCCAGCCAGAAACTTTCAACAATCATTACACCTTGGGACCGACACCGTCTTTACCGTTCGGCCCTGCCAGCATTCCGCCTGCCACCATGCCGCCTGTCAGTATGGGACCCCATGGCAACTTATTCTATTCAGTTGGTGATAATTTCTAAATGATCATGTTCATCGGACTCTAATTTCTTTACTGTCTTTCTATTCTCATTTGTTCCTTTCTCTCTCATAGGTGTAAGCATATATGCTTTTGGCGTTTTTTGTACATTCTGTTGACAAGCAAACGAATGATTTGATGGCGTATGGTGTTATTGCATTCTACAAACTAATGCCGCAATAATGGCGTATCAGGGTTTCTTGATCGGTAGGATTAGGGCTTGGTAAAGAGAAAAGGATTGCGTTTGATACCACTGGGATGGGGGCTCTTCTTCTGTTTTCATGCGTTGTACTATGTCCGGTTCCGGGGTCCGAAGCCCTTGCTGGGGATATAGGATATGAATCATAAGGCGAGCTGGTCTCTCATCTTGTTCTGGGCATTGATTGTCCGGCATTGTTGTAGGAATTTGTCTTGCCATGGGTCGGCAGACAGATGTAGTGAGCTTATCATTGAATTGCAAGAGTTGTTTTGTACGAATTGATGCTGGCATGCCTCAAACAAAGTTGGCTCGTATGTATCCGTGCAGAATCAGATTGCTTGATCTGAAATAAATCATGGTCTATTTGCCTGGGTCCCGCTGGTATAGTCCCTCTTTATGGTACATTTGACATCTTTTTTTCCCTCTTTTCTTTCTTGATTTAGATACTTTAGTATTGATTTTACAAGACGAGCCTGCCAGGGTCATTCTCCAACACTAGTTTCATTCTTGCCAGGAAAGCATTTGCTCGCTTCTCTTCGCTTTTTGGTACCTTGAGGCTGAATGTGTTGGAACCGGTGGAGATGCCGGGCTGGCCCAACGGAGCCGCCATGGGCTTGGCGCTCTTCTTGGGCTTGGGTGCCAGGATATCGATAATGTCAATCTTGGCAGCGGCCTTGGGCTTGGGCGCGACGCCAGTAAAGGATGGCGAGGGCAGCGCCGCGATCTGGGGGATATAGTAGCCGCGGGACACCTTGGGGTCGACCTTGTGGAGACCGAGGACCTGGTGGAACAGCTCGTCGGACGAGGGCTTGTAGTTGGCGGGCAAGGGCAGCTCGTCGTTGGCGAGCTCGGCAGCGCGCGAGATAAATGTCGAAAGGGGCAAAAAGGTGCCGAGCGTGGCCTCGATCTTTTGCTGCGTCGCAATGACGGCCTCCATGGAGATGGGCACGGCGACGACGAGGTCTTCGGGGACGGGCTTGGCCTTAGCGGCTTCTGTCTTGGCCGGCTTGGCCGGAGAGGCGGGTTGGGCAATCTTGATGTTGCTCAGGTCCAGGTGTGCGTTGTGGTCGAAACGCTTCTTGATATCGGCGGGCCGGGACTCGGAGGCCATGCCCAGGTAGGCGAGCACGTCGCCCTTGAGGAGACGGCCCTGGGGTCCGGTCGGGGTGATCTCGCTGATGGCTGCCTCGTCGAGCTTGTGCTCCTTGACCAGGTGCTCGACGGACGGGTACAGAGGGTACTTTTGGGGCGGTGCCTTTCCGCCGGACTTCTTTCTCTGGCTCGGGTCTGCGGCCTTCTTCTGGGGAGCGGCCTCGCTGGGCTGTCCAGACTGCGCCGGGGCAGCATCCTCCTTCTTGGGGGCAGCGGGTGCCTTGGAAGACGACTCGTCGGCGGGGAGCTCGAGGGCGCTAATGTCGTCGCCGGGCTCAGCAATGACGCCGATGCGGGTGCCGACCTGGACGCTCTTGCTGCCGTCGCCCTGGAAGATCTTCATCATGATGCCGTCGTCCTGGGCCTCGACGTCCATCGAGGCCTTGTCCGTCTCGATCTCGAGGAGCACGTCGCCGGCGGCGAACTCGTCGCCCTCCTTGACCTTCCACGTAGCAATGTTGCCCTCGGTCATGGTTGGCGACAGGGCGGGCATGGTGAAGTTTTGGGCTGCTCGCGACGCGGCCGTTGTCCGTAGACCTATAAAGACGCATTGTCAGTAATTGGTCATATATCCCGATGATACCCATGTTGAAATCTCTCCCTTGGCTTTCCTCTCGTCGTTTTTCTTGGTAGCATGATAATGTGTGTAGTGACCGGACATACCTCTGATTGAAGCATCTTGGGCAACTCTGCGGCTTGTCAGCCTGGCCGACAGGCGACATGCGGTCGCAAAGGAAGCCATTTGTCGGGCCAGAAGTGTGGAAGTGGGAGAGTTGGGTGAGGTTGAACGTTGTAGCTCGATTTGAGCTTTTTTTCCGGGGCTGTTGAGATGGTAGTAAGTGATTGGGATGTCCGTTGGAGCTAGGTCCAAGATACGATAGCAGGTTCGTTCTGGAAGCAAAAGATACGTGCGACGAGAATTTACGTATATCTGACTGGCAAATTAGATAGTAATAGTGAATGAATTGATTTTCTTCTTGTCCTTGTCAGAAGTGCGCTGTTATCATTGGGATTACTTGTCCCATTCTTTTGCTCATACAACTTTCTTACTCAACCTCTCTCAATTATTATGGCCGCGCTCGCCCAAAATCTTTGGTTGGGGGCACCAGCACCTTTGCGCACCGGCCTTTCCCGGGCTTCAAATCGGACCTTCAACAAGGTCGTTGGGCCCCTGTAAGAGCGGCTTATTATTAGTTGATTAGTGCTTCTCACCTTGTATTTCACCGAAACAGCTTGAGCATCAACCAATCAGATACCTGGATCGTTCCCCAAAACCCGCTAGCAACCTAAAAAGCTCCAGCTCTCGGGTCTCCAGCAACAAAAACATCGGGGACTTCCATCATTGGTGAGAAAGTTCGCTCGCGATGGAATAATTTTGGGGCCTTGCACACTTGGACCCTTGGAGCACTTTGCGAATCGCACGTCGACCTGCCTTTTTGAAGCAGCCAATTGCCTCGTCAGAGCTTCACGCGAGTATAAAGACGTTCGATTACGCTTGAGGAATTCTCAATCTGGCGACAATGGCGACTGCTTCAACAAGCTGTCGGGGCTTTACGCACCCGGTCCTCCTACTGATCAGGAGCTCTTTATCACCGGCCGCCCGGCATGGCACCGCGGCCTCTCAGTCGCCATGTCTTCTTCGTTTGTCTGCTGCTTCAAGGCGGTCATCGAGGCTCTTCACAACGAGCGCACGCCGTCAACAAAAACCTACAACGGCCGGGGTAGCCAAGACAAAGGTGGAATCCCTCACAAGGACACCCGTCGCGTCCACATCGTACGCCCAAGCACTGGCGCAGCGACCCGGCGGAGCTATACTATACGAAGGCGCTGGACAGAAGATCTTCATCGTGTCGAGTTACATGGCCGGACTCGCCTGCCTAGGAGGCGCGACCTTTAACATCATCTTTAATGTCTACAACGCGCCGCCGGGAGTGCCCGCGTGGACGGGCTACGCTTTTGGGTCTGTGGGCCTCATGCTCGCCATACTGGGCATGAACTTTATCCTCAAACCGTCCAACATTGTGCGCAGGATTAGGGTCCTCCCCACGCCCGAAAAGACGGCCGCTGCACCAAAGGCTGGCGGCTACTCTGCGCCCGCCAAGATTCAGATCGAGGTGCTCTCGCGCAAGCTGAGCCCCATCCCCGGCATGCCCCTCAAGCGAACGGTCGTCAACCCGCAGGATATCGTCCTCAAGGCCAAGATGTACAACCCCAAGCCGTTTGGCGCGCCGGCCGACTCCGTCATGGCTCGAGAATGGGCCGAGCGCACCATGGCCAGGGCCGATTACGACAAGCAGCACCCGGCCACTGCGGGCTTCCGTAGTGTCGGCTGGGCGTTTGCTGGTTTCTTCCATAGCATCCGCCGCGGTCTGACGGGAGAGGGTTTTGCGCCCATCGAGGTTAACGGCCAGCGGCTCAGGCTGGACATTTCCGAGGGTTTCGTCCTTGATGACGGCAAGGCCATGGATAGGATATTGACGGTCAAGGAGGAGGAGAGACCCGGTATGCTCTTCCGCTCGTAGGACTTGGACCAACATGCATCATTGTCTTTTGGGCATTTTCAACCACTTTACCAATATGTGTTCCTTGGGTATCCAACTTGAGCGAATGTTATGCTTGGGGGAAAACTCAAGCCAAGAAACCTTTACCAGCTGGGGCAGCTCATTACCGGCCATAGAAAGGACATCTTAAATCCGACCCCGAAATCTGATGAAAGTCACGCCGGGCCAAATGATCGGAGTATGCCATGTCCGATAGAACTGCATGCCAAGGCTGTCACGAATTGTGTATATCCTCAGCCTGCTTGTGCTGGGCCGGATTATTCTCGCCTATCTAGTGCAGCATTTTAGCGAGCCAGGTCGAGCGAGGATCGAGTCGGAGAGAACCGGGCATGCTTACGGAATTCAGCCCTTGTGACCATTTGACCACGCCTCACATTAAGTGTCGACTATAGACTAGAGAGCATAGCAAGCAAATTGCCCTATATATATGTATACACACATTGTATGATTGAACTCCAAAGAAAGAAAGAAGGACACAAGTCAAAGTGACACGAGTCAATCCACGCAAATCTCTTTACCATGATGAAAGTTCTCGTTCTCGGAATGCCCCGCACGGGGACACAATGTGAGTTGATGGGAACATGCTCCAAAGTCAAGGTCGAGGTTGAATTAACAATCTTATTGCAGCAATAGCAGAGGCGCTGATCCAGCTCGGCATATCGCCCATATACCACATGCGCGAGGTGGGACAGAATAACCACCAGGCGGCGTGGGCAGAGGCCATGGATGCCAAGTTTGAGGGCAAAGGCAAACCGTACGGCCGAGAGGAGTTTGACAAGATACTCGGTGATTTTGAGGTGAGCTTTCTTCTGTTGCTCCCTTATCCTCTACCCATAGGACAAGGACTTTGCGCTTCTTTTTTTCCGCAATTTGAGAAGTGTTCTTTTATATTTCAAGCAAAGATTGTTCTACAAGTCTCAGGGAGATTGTCTGTAAGAGAGAGCTGACGAGAAGACGTACTGTCCATGAACAGGGCCTGGCGGATTACCCCGCCGTCATCTTCCCGGCAGAGCTGATTGAAGCCTACCCGGAAGCGAAAATCATCCTCACCCTCCGCAGCGACGAGGACAAGTGGTTCGACAGCATGATGGCGACGCTGATCCACGGGCACACCCACGCGCCAAAGCCGAACCCGAGCCCCATGGCTCCCGTGTCGAGTAGATACCATCGATTCTGTGTGAGTCTTCCTCCGCCTCCTCCTTCCCTCTCCTCCTTCTTCTTTTGGAATCCCCCCGCATACAGTATGTCGATGTTGATTCCCCCACCTCTTGTCTGATTTGGGGGTGCAACGTTCATCCGAGGTGGAGAGATACTCATACTTTGGTTATAGTGGAACGATGACTTTCCCACCCATGGTCGAGAAGCATATCGCAAACAAAACGCCGTGGTGCGGGAAGCGGCCAGGGGAAGAGAATTCCTCGAGTACGAGACCGGCAGCGGCTGGGCGCCGTTGTGCGAGTTCTTGGGCCTGCCAATCCCAGATGTACCGTACCCGCGGAGCGATGATTGGGCTGTGTATAAAAAAGAGGTCCAGGCGCAGGAGGAGTTGAAGAAGAAACAGGATCATGAGGCGAAAGAATAGTATATATCTGGACAAGAATATTGTAGGGTAAATGGATGGAACTTATCCTTAGGTATTTTTCTGATTTATGTAAAATTCATTATGATCATCATCTTGCAGCTTCATTAGGAGTCAAGAAATCTGGCTGGATAGAATTGCGATATTTGTACAAATGGACTTGAATTGTTCTTGGTCATGTTCATCTCGCCGCCGTAATCAACCTTGCAAACTTGTCATCGACTTTGAAGGCTGCGAGGAAGACGGGACAAAAGAGAGGAAGGACCTTTCAAAACAGCCATAGACTGATAGAGACACCGCAAGAATACGACATGACACGACCCGAAAACTTGCTTGCTCAGGTCAGCTCCCTAGCCACCACGTCGGTAGCTGTGCCATCAAGCTTGGGAAATTCTATTTGGCAAAGAAATCGTATTGAAACAGACGTGAAAATCTGAATGAAAATTCAGGAGTGGAAAGAAAAGAAAGAAGAAGAGTAAGGGGAAAAAAGAAGGTGACATCACGGAGATTCGAACTGGTGAACCAAGCAAAAAGAGACCGAGCAGCCTAAAGACCACTCACACTAGCCCAACCTAGTTTACAGTTTAGATTATCCAGGTCATGACCCAAACCCGAGGACCTGTGATGATTTCTTGTTCTATTTAGATATTTAACCCCTCCTATTGGAAACCGGGAGAACCTAGGGTATGAGCATCGTTAGTGAGGTCTGCAAACGGACTCTTATAGATGGGACAGCCGTTTGCTTGTTAGCTACCTAGTATTCCTATTTTCTCGACATGCTAAAACTATGTGTGCATGTTTTAATTCTTCCTCTAGTCTTATTTTTCATTCCTTTCTGCTTGCCTTTGCTTTTCTTTCCCCAGTCATTTCCCATAATCATGTCTCGCGTCCTCGATTCTTTCACGTGCCTAGCACAGCCTTAGGAAATGATCTCCGTTATCATTCCTTATTCTTTTTTCCCTCCCATAATTTCATTCCGTCGATTTCGACTTCTCAATCATCAAGCTTCAAGCCTTCCAGCTCCTTCTTCAGCACAGCCACTGGTCTGAATGTACTCCTGAAATGGCCAATCACATGAATGCGCTGTGGCACACTCTTCTCCTCCTCAACCTCCTCGCCTCTTTCTTTTGCTCTCTCGGCCTCGATCTGTGCCACACTCTTGACTTCGGCAAAGTCACCCTTGACTCCCGTCTTCTCCTCGCCCCAGATCTCAAAGAACGGGTAGCCGTTCTGGGCATACGTCTCGGCATCAACAGGCGTGGGCGGCGGCGGTAGGCCGGTGACCTCGGTAAACGACTCCGAGTCAAGGATCTGCAGGTTGAGCAGATTGGCCTCGTCCACGTCCCAGACATCGGCTGGGTGACGATCTGGCTCAATGGTCTGCTGGATGAAGCCACCAGCGGCGAGACCCATCTCCTTGACTACTTTGCGCGCAGCCACCGGCATGATCTTGCCACAAGCAGACGTTTGCTCCAATTCCATGGAGAAGTCTTGCTCAAATTCCATTTCCATGGAGAATTTGTCAGCGGATCCCGGTGGACCAGACTTCAGACTCATCACCTCTGCAATATCCTGGTCAGTCTCAATAGCACAAGGCAGTGAATACGGAATTGGGTACATACCTGGGACAATTTGCGGATTGAGAGCAGACGGCGCGGCACCAAACAACGCACCACCAAAGGAAGCCGGTGCGGCAGCACCAAACACGGCACCACCGGGAGGAGGGGGAGGAGGAGCTGATGTGGTACCGAAGCACGCCCTTGTATCACAAGCATATTCATCAAACTTTGGCTTATGGGATAAGGTGAGGGAGCCGTTTGGCTTGAAATAGAGACTGCCGAGTTTCGTGGCACCGGCATCGGACTCGCTGCCATTCAAACTCGAGGACATGTCAGAGTCCCACGGGTTGGTGTCAATGATCTGATCTTCCAAAGCCACGTTGAATTCCTCCTTCAGCAGCTTCTTGAGGTCGAGAACGGAACTGTCCTCGCTCAGACCCTTGTCGGCCAACAGCAAAGATCGCTTAATGACGCCGCGCTCGCTGTTCTCGTATCGCACCTCCAGCTCCCGCGGCAGACCACACTTTATGGGGACGACTTCAATCTGCACGCCGCCCACCTTTTCCTCGCCCGTAACCTGGGCCTCGACGCTGAACCCGCTGCCTTTGGGCTTGGCGATGAACTGGCGGATCCTGCCGTCCTCGCTCGCGATGCCGTCGAGCCACGGCTGGCCGGGAACCACCATGTAGTCCTGGACGGGCTTTCCGTCTTTCAGCATGCGCAGCCGCTTCTGGCGCGTCTTTTCTGTATCATTTTCGCCGTCGCTCCGCGGCAGGCCCGACACGGCATTGACGCCGCCCACATAGACCTTGAGGGCAAAGGGCCGCGAGGCGCGGAAGTTGATCCACATGGCCTCGCGCTGGTACATGGGGAAGAACAGACCGCCCTTGGCCGCCATGTCTGCTGGCATGCGGTCTGCATAGTCCTGCACCCGGTACAGGGGGAACTGGCCCATGCTTGGGGGCAGCATGTTGGTGTCGCGGTTGTCGGGCACGCGAATGGTGCGGTTGAGAGTGAGTTCGAGAGCGCCCGCGCTCGGTCCTTGGTTGATGCGAATGGTCCCGACGCTGCTACTGAAGACGTCGTTGCTTGATCCCGATCCTGTCGTCGGTAGATCCACGGTCAGGCGGCGAAAGGCGGCGGCTGAAGAAGCGTCCTGGGTGCCATGGCTTTCATTGGTCAGGATATCTACCCGTTGGGTTGAAGAGTCGTTATTGATGAGGACCATCTTGAAGATTTAACGGCCCAATCAGCCAAAGTCTAGTAGTTATCAGATGTGGTTTGGTGCTGCTTTGCTATGTTGGAATACGACGGTGGTGGATGTGTTTATGCTGTGTTTGTGTCACAGATGCAGTATGCCGTCCCTGCCTCTTGCCTGTATTGCGGGATAAAATTGTTGTCGGAAAAGCAAAACGATGAATTTGAACACCAGAAGTTGTCACTTTATACAAGAATAATCAGAGTGTGAATTATCAAGCCTTTGCATTTGAAAAAGAATCACCTCCTCAAGGCAGCAACAAAAGAATGCTAACAAGAGGCAACCAAAAGAGGCCGCCATGCATCAAACTACGTCAAAGCTTCAATTGGGCGGAAAGGGCGGTCGCTGCCTAGGGCTGAAAGGAATAGTGCTCTCAGCTCTACTTTCATTGGCATTGGCGAGCTAGACATGAACCGTCGCACTCTAGTACATGAACCACCTATGAACCTAGCCAACTTAGCTCACATTGGCAATGGGGTTACTAAACTCTTTCTTCTTCCCCGATCCCAGCTTTTGGGGGGTTCGACGCCAAAGTAGATAAACTTCAAAGGAAACCCCCCTGCTGTTGATCGGCCTTTTGCTAGATCTATTACATCTTTTGTGTGGAAACCTGGATGATCAGTTGTTGATTTTTTAGAACCCTGCCAGACAGCTTGGACTATCTGGCAGATGAAATTGTTTGGTCAAGTCAATCTACGTCATCACCTTTTTGTGAGTGTTTTGAAAAGCAGCACCTGAACAAAATGTTAGATCAAGGTACAGTGTCTCGCGCGTTATAAGCACCAAGACACAGTTATTAGTCTATCTAAGATACAAAAGCGTGCATGGATATATCATTAGTCATCGCCGTATATGGAGCCGTTCATTAAATCTGTCAAGTTTATACTTGGCAGTATCGCCCCCCGTTCATCCTCCTCCTCCGCCGGAAACATATAACTCATGTAAATATATCTGTTAATCATGGTGATGCTTTCCTGTTGGAGTCTTAAGCTGGTCTGATATGGGTGTCAATTGTGTGATGTATTGATTTATATTCTGCGCCTCCAGTTTTAACGAGGTGCACGCTTATTTGGGTGGCCCCGGCTAATACCCGGGAGGTCCCGTACATCTATCTGAACACCAGGGTGTTGATCAGTGTGCTCAAGCAAACCCCAGTGTATGGGATCCATAATCCACCATCTAACAGTTATAAATATACAGCTCAGGAATATCAAGATGGGTGAGAACACCATGCATCTCTACGGCTAAGCTGATGGTAAACTCTCTAAAAGTTCGTGGAAACTATTTCTGTACCATCGCGCATAATCCAAAGATATAAACGCATAGAAGGCACCAACGGAGATTCTCATCGACGTTCTTGAAGACGTCAAACTCCAAAAAGTCTGCTTTGTGGTTGATGCTTTAGACTACGAGTGCATAAAAGGTCTCTCGTAACTGCTCGATCTTATCATCCAGGCCTCACGGTTCCCTTATACAAAATGGCTCATCTCAAGCCGCAATTTTGGCGAAAACATACCGTCGAGGCAAAAGCTAAGATCTCGCGAGATAAGCTCTGGTGTTCCTCGAATCGGAAATACATTCCATCATACGTTAGTATAGCGAATTATAACCTGGAGGAAATGATCTCAGTACATCCAGCGTGTCCCACAGCCGTACCTTGATATCTGCTAAGCTCGTGAAAGCCAACAGAAAAATGTGTTTTCGGCGTTTGATACCTGATATCGGCGCGCCTGGTCAGTAGTATTTTTCCTGGTAGCCCTTGAGTTGCGAGAGTTCAGAAACCTTGCATTCGACGTAGCTCTCCACAGCTGCAGAGACAGCATCGACCTATCACTTTAGATGAGTTGAAGTCTCTGGTCCAGTCGATTAAAACCTTTGAGCAAAATCATATCAAAGGTATGGGCTCATTATGTGGCTTTCCCTTGACTCTCTAGGCGAACTTTTATTTTTATTTTTTATTCACTTCGTTTATTAGTTTGCAAAAGATTGTCCATCTGCAAAAAGCCGCGGACAGGATCCTAGGCTCTGTTTCGCTGCAATCTTTTTCTCTCTGCCCCACTTCCTCGATCGAACGCACGGTTTTTCCTATCGTCGGTTGCTTACGTTCTCAGGAACACCCAGTGTTGTGCTACACTTGCTTATGGCTGCTGCTCATCATCTGAGCCAAGGGAGCTATAAGTGTGTATCTTGAGACTGACCACTAATTGTGCGAGGGGAAGAAGTTCGCCCTCAAGGCTATGCCGAATTTGGATGTCAGTTTGACTGACATCCG